TGCGGCAACCATAGAGGAATCAGTCTGATCTCCATCGCCTCCAAATTACTCGCATCCATAATTCTTCACAGACTGACTGGCGCTCGTGAAAGCCAGATTCGTGAGGAGCTAGCCGGGTTTCCTCGGGATTGTGGCTGCATCGACCACATCTTCACCTTGCGTCAGTTGTTGGAGCACCGTCACACATATTGCCGGGCCATCGTAGTCGTGTTTCTCGACATTAAAGGTGCCTTCGATTCGGTTGATCGATGTGTCCTTTGGAATTGTCTACACAGGAAAGGTATGCCTAAGAAATATGTTAATATTATCTAAGCACTATGCGCGTGTAGCACGGGCAGAGTGAGGGCTTACGACAAGCTGTCGCCACCCTTCAATGTCTGCAGCGGTGTGAGACACCTTTCTTCCTCAACATCGCTATTGACAAAGTCATGGAGATTGCATTTACAGGACATGACTTGGAAGGTGTGGAGCTACTCCCAGGAGAACGACTTCTTGACTTGGAGTATGCAGACGACATTGCCCTCATCTGTGACAGCTCCCAGACGTACCAAGCCGCGCTGGACGGATTAGCACTGGTTGTCAGTCGCTTCGGGCTTTGCTTTGCACCATCAAAATGCAAAGCGTTCCTCAAAGATTGGTCTGGATCGCTTCCTGCGCTGACCCTTGGTGGGGATCAGCTAGAAGTCGTTCAAAAATTCAACTACCTGGGAACTTGTATCAGCGCCCTTGGGATCGAAGACGAGATCACGAATCGTATAGCAAAAGCTCGAAGTGCTTTTGCTAACCTTCGACACCTATGGCGGCGGCGCGACATTACTCTCGTCCTGAAGGGTAGAGTGTACAATGCAGCAGTACTTTCGACCCTACTGTACGGTTGCGAAACCTGCCCCCTAAGGTCGGCAGACATGAAGAGGCTAGTTACGTTCAACCATCGGTGCCTTCGCAGTTTGGCTCACATCTGGTGGGAACACCGCGTGAGCAACGAACGTGTTCGGCGCCTAGTTTACGGCACAGAAAAAAGAACTGAACCGCTCAGCACCGTTATTTCACGCACCAGGCTCCGATGGCTGGGTCATGTTTTGCGCATGCCAGCCCACCGAACCCCTCGACGTGCGTTGTTTGCTCTCCGGGGATGTGGATGGAAGAAGAGGAGAGGTGGCCAATAGATGACTTGGTCGAGAGGAATGAAGGCCCTCACTTCGGAGCTGGCCTCGGTTGGAGCGTCACGGATCCCTGGTTGGGGTTCAAAAGACGATGAACACGTTTGGCTGGATACACTTGCTGACATGGCTAGGAGCCGACCTCAGTCGCGTTCCTGCTGTGAGTTTCTTTGTCCGTCCCCATCCCTTTTAGCCTCTCCCTCCACCTACGATCTCATTTCGCAGTGTAAAACATAATAATTTTCTTTTTGCCTAGTAGCCGGCTGGTAGCTTACCGGGACGATGCCTATCCGTTGTTGGTAGCTCAGCTGGCATGCAACTGTTGTAGTTATGTTCCTTTTCTTTTATGTATTGCGGCACAGTAGCTGAGGTGTTTCCCACCTCTGGATGATATGTATAAAGCATGAATGAATAATGGACTCATGCGGCGTCGCTGTGAGTGCACAGCTACTTGCCTGCTAGCGAAGCCAGATGTCCTGAGTGCGCTGGTATCCGGGCTGAGTAAGCGCACTTTGATCACAGTAGCGCGACACCGGTCGCATATTCACCAGACCTTATTAGCAGCAGATATATCTTCATGTGGCAAATCAATTTGCTAAGCTGGACATTGGGTCCCTATGCAGTCTCTGGAAATTTGGATGCTTGCTGAAACATTCCATCTGGATGCGAACGCAACGAGACTCGAAAAGACCTCATATCGTGATTGTGTGCTAGGCTGAAGAGAGACGCGAAGCGTCCTGCTCTCCTCATTTGTCGAAGATTGAAATGCCCGCTGCTCTTTGTAACCAAAGTAAGTAATTCCGTTGGATACGCGAAACAGGCAGCAGGAGGCCTGATGTTAGCGAGAACATACGTGATGAGAGTGGACGACTGATCCACAGTTTCTCAAAACGCTTGTTGTGTTGGACCGATTACTATGAAATTCAGCTTAATCAGCTACAGTTATCATTTTCTCCTTCGGCCATCGGTCATCCTCTCTGGACCGTCCCCATGGACCCGTTTTCATGCTCAGAAGTCGAATATGAAATCAAACTGTTGAAAGTAAATAAAACTGCAAAAGCGGATAGAAACCCTCCGGATCTCTTCAAATTCTGGGGACCTCTTGTAGATGATATGCACAACTTAGTTGTGAAGCTGTGGGAGCAGGAAACTGTCCCAGCAGACTGGAGCTGCTAGATAAGTCCTAATTTTCAAGGTGAGCTCACGTTTCGAATGCGGCAGTCATAGAGGGATCAGTTTGATCTCAGTCGCCTCTAAACTACTCGCCTCTGTCGTTCTTCATAGACTTTCATACTTGAAAGCCAGATTCGCGGGGAGCAATCCCGGTTTCTTCGAAATCGTGGCTATGTTGCTTACTTTTTCACAATACATCAGTTGTTGAAGCGCAGCCATATTTATCGCTGAGCCACTGTAATCGTGTTCTACAACACGAAAGGTGTCTTGGTTGATCGATGTGCCCTCTGACACTGTCTACTGAGGAAAGCTGTGCCCGAGAAATATGTAAGTGTCAAAAGAGCGTTGTACGCTCGTAGTTCGGGCAGTGAGGATTTATTGCAAGCTGTTCCTGCTCTTCAATATCTTCAGTGATATAAGACAAGAATGTCCGCTGTCGCCTTTCCCTTTAAACGTCTCCATCAACGAACTCATGGAAACTGCGTTTACTGGACACGACCTGCAAATCGTGGAGCTGCTGCTTTATAAACAACTTCTTGACTTGAATTACGTCGATGATAGTGCCCTCCTCTGTGACAGCTTCCAAACGTGCCAAATGACACTGCACAAATTAGCACTGGCTTTCAGTCGTTTCGGGCTATCCTTTGCACCCTCGAAATGCAAAGTTTTATCCAAGCTTGACACGGACCCACTCCTGCGCTGGCTGTTGGTGAGGATCAGAAAGAAGTCGTCGAGAAACTCAGGCATGTAGGCAGCTATTTCTGCGCCAATGGAAGGGAAGATGAGATCGCAAACTGCATAACAAAAGCTCTAGAAACTTTTTCCCATTTTCGCAATCTTTGGCGCCGGCGCGATATCACTCTTGCCCTGAAGGGCAGCGTTTCTAATGCGGCCGCCCGTTTAACCCTACTGTATGGTTGCGAAACCTGTCCCATCCGATCGGCAGACGTAAAGAGGCTACGCACGTTCGTTCATCGCTGCCTTCGAAGCTTAGCTCATGTCTGATGGGAGCACCGCGTGAGCAATGAGCATGCTCGGCATCCTGTATATGGTCCAGAGAGAGCGAGAATCGCTCAACAGCATTATATCACGCACCAGGCTCCGATGGCTGGGTCACCTGTTACGCATGCTAGCCTACCGACTCCCTTGTCGTTCGTTTGCGCGCCGGGGGTGCAGATGGACGAAGGGGTGGTGTGGCCAAACGATGACTTAGTTAAGGGGAATGAAGTCCCACTTGGAAGTTGGCGTCGGTTGGTTTCAGTCGACTACCTGGCTTGGGTCCGAATGACGATGCACATGTTTCGTTGGAATCACTAGCTGACATGGCCAGGAGTAAACCACAGTGGCGTTTGTGTTGTGTGTTTCTTTGTCCCTCCCCATGTCGCTTATCTTCCACCTCCAACCACAATCTCCGTCTTGACGCATAGTATGTTACTAAGTAGTCTGTCGCCTGTTTTTAGCATTCTACAATTTTCAGCATCTTGTTTTTCCATTTCTTTTATCTCTATATATTACGGCACAATAGTTGAAGTGTGTTTCTCACCTTCACTTAATGCGTAATGAGGATAATGGTGATGCGTCTGCAGTTTGCTGCAGGACTTACGTAACCGCCCATTGCCTATCGATGTTGCTCAAAATCATGCGTCCATTTGTCTAACCTTTTTTGTCTGGACCAAATCATGCTGTACGATCGTTTTTCGGCTGTGCCCACTCCATTCTTGCTTTTTGTTCATGGATCACTATGTTGTCTTTTACGATGGACCACACAAAAAAGCCGCGTTTTACTCCAGATTACCCGACTCGATTTCTTGTCCAAAATGGTCCAGGGCTACCGGAGTCGTTGCGCACGGCGCATGTTCGTTGGGGAATACTGTGGCGACATGGTAATCAACCTCCAGCCGTTTCTCTTAGATGTCTATAATAACTCTTTCTAGCCTTTGCTGTTTTATCTCCTTCGTTTATATGCTTGTGCGACCGATACTGACTGGGATTTGCTGAACTACACGTACAGCTTACTCTTCTTTACTCCCCCACTTTTCAATACTGACCCATTTTGCTTTGCCCTTCGTTGTTATAACCGTTGACATCTTGTATTTCTTCATTTTAGCCTATCGGATATACTCTTGCTCCCACTAAAACCGTTTCACGTTATCAACTCATGACCTGTCAGCTGAGGGAAGGCACCAGTCCAACTCTTGAAGTTAGGCTGGCGCGATTGGATGATGTTGAAAGAAAAATCACGCTTGTAATGCAACATGCTGGCAGTGCGCTAGAGGAGTTGTCCAAAGACAGACCGGTTTTAAAACAAGTGGAAAATCATACTCATAATTTTCGCGTTATTTTGAAGGAGATAGAGTCAGAAATGAACGTCCATATCAATTATTTGAACGAAATATCAGCTGGGTTACCGTATGAAGGAAATACATACGCAGAATCTATTGATGTATACCAGTGTATCGATCGCCTTTCATTAATAAGAAATAAACTATTGTCCTCACTTTGATTCTTCATTTTTTTCTGAGTTTTACTTGCTGTTGGCATAGCACAATTATGACCATTCCCTTGCTCTTAGACTTGGGTGATACCCCAATGGAATCCGATCCGGTCGTGTCTAGCACCGTCGCAGAAGCCGAATTGCCCGGTTCCGGGTACCCACCTATACGACGAATGGAGGATGAATCTGACGTTTCCTCGGAGAAGAAAAAGCATGGGATAATTGATAATGACCTCAATGAAACTCCACTACCTTCCTGGCGTTTACAGTCCGAGCTTTCCGATACTACTTACGATGAACTTTCACATCCCTATGAATTTGCCTCACAGCATTTCCGTTCAGACAATTACCTTGCCGATTTCGAAATCCCGGAGATGGAATTCGACGAGTTCGGTATAGAGCTGGCCGGCGATAAAGGTTGGTTTTTTGCATAGAAACAATTACTTTGGTTTTCATCACGTCACGGCTTCCAACAATTTCAATTAAACAACTGCATGATTTAGGTAACCATATTAATAACGGTGCTTTCGAATAAAACTTATTAAAGTTCGGCTTAGAGTGGAATCAAAAGGGAGTTGGGAAAGCAGTTAGTGGAATCGATCGATTGGAGAGGCTGCGTGCTAACTGATGTTGCTTCGTTAACTTCAGAATTGTACACAAATGGATGGGGTCTCCGTCTGCACTCTCCTTTCCGGGGATTCAGCCTAAAAATGCCCTCGGTGATGGTGTGGATGCCGAAAATTCGCCACTCTTAGTGCATAGAGCCTGTTTCAACCATGGCTTGGCATCACATTGTCCAAACTCGCACAACTTTACGCTTTATACCACATCATCGGTTGGTTACCCAGCTGTTTCACTTGGGATTGTTATTAAGTACAGTATACATTAAGGTGTGCGCATACGATTGACGTGTGGAAAATAGAATGAAAAAGAAAGGCATCAGCAGGACGCCGGTGCGCAGTACTTAAGGTTCTCTGCCACGCAACTACCACCAATCGCACGCTGGCTAAGGATACTGCGAGGGTCGCCTTGCCCCTACGCGCAGGCTCGAGCCTGAGCCGTCAGGTTACAAGACAAGCTCGTTACCTTTAAGCTACGGTTGGTATGTGTTAGCCGATGTGCTCGGCTTCAGTACACCAGTTTGAACCAGCTTGATTGATGTGTTTGACCTCGTAGCACCAAGCATCCAGCATGAGACTTTCGGTGGTAATACAGCGTCGATATGATGTACCGGCGTACTGCTGTTTTTTTGTCAGTTTACCTGACACTAGTACAACACCAGGGCATTTAACCAACATCCCTCGTTATTAACACCATGTATGAAGAGCATTACAAGCACCGATGCTCTGTCAGTCAGTTTCCGAATGCTTTCTATGTCAGGTGGCCATATTTTGGGTTCGCACCACACCGTCAGCCGCACTGTTTCGTTGTACACGTTACCATTGGCCGATGGGCCGATGTTTCATCATCTCTGTAAACGATTAAAAGTTTGAACAGTGACATCATCCTCACTGATCCTGCAGTTAACCTCACTTGATTTACTCACCATAGATGACAAAACTACGGAGGTGATCGATTTTCGAGCGACTGTTCCGTAATAGCGAGAACGGACGGCGTGTTTACACAATTCTGTAACGGCGCTTTGCACTTCAAAAGTGCAAGGAGCATACTGTTTTTTGTTGCACTACGCTCTGGTTTATCCAAAAGCGTTTTACAAACTGCCTCCCACCATATGAGCTGCATTGTCCCCGCACTGTTTGTTGTCCGGTTACTCACAGTGTAGAACTTTTACTCTCGAAAATATTGAGACCTGTGTTTTTAACCACGAGGCTGAAGGTGCGTTTAAGCAAATTTTGTTCACCTTTCGTCTTTTGCAGTTTTTGGGATACGCATTCTTGTAGACCTTCCCCGGTCTCGCAAGTCACGGTAGAGAAACTTTAGAATATACGTAAACCATACGTAAACCATCCGATGTCCGAATAGTATTAAATAAATAAATAAATTTGTCTGTTTACCGACAGACGGTACACGGCCACACAAGTGAGAGTCATCATTGGTATAGTGAATAGGTTTCATGGTTTATGCGGCGTAAATCATAATAGTAAAGAAAAATTTATTAATAGAATTTCGGATCATGCTTTTTTTCCTCGAGTCCTAGATCCGTGCAGCTAACGTGTAAAATTTACGGATGCTTGTATCATCTCATGCAGCCATTTCTCTTCAGAAATTTTAAGAGAGCAAGAACGAACAACATTTATGCCGGATAACCTGAATTCAGATTATTTCGTGTCTTCTCATTGAACTGCTTACAGACAAATCGTGGAAAGAGTAAAGGAATGCAATTGAAAAAGGGCGTCAGTAGGAAAATCAATGAAACTGAGAAAATCAAGATCATTACCTGCGTCTTACCAGGGCAAGACAAGACTGGCCATGATGTCTACCTGCTTACAAAGGTTTGGTTGTTTTGTCTGCTGATCCCCTTGAATGCGTCACGTGGGTTTTCGCACAAGGTACAATCGAGCAGATGCTGAGCGATGGAGCTGGCAGGGAGTTTAGGTCCACTACTTGCGAGGTTCCGTGGAACATGTCCCATGATCCTAGTTGATAGCCTTGTCTAGGTTCGGCCAACGTACATGCCACCGCAAGTAAAGGTGAATTGGTAAACAACAGCAGGAACGCCACTGAGGTCGGCTCCTTGCGATGTCAGCAAGTGTATCCAGTCTTTTGGACCCCAACCAAGGAGTCGTGACGCTCAAACCGAGGCCAACTTCGAAGTGAGGGCCATTTTCTCGACCAAGTCATCGTTTGGTCACCCCTCCTCTTCTTCCATCCACATCCCCGGAGAGAAAACAACGCACGTCGTGGAAGTCGATGGGCTGGCATGCGTAACACGTGGCCCAGCCATCGGAGCCTGGTGCGTGAAATGACGGTGCTGAGCGGTTCAGTTCTTTTCTCTGTGCCGTAAACTAGTCGTCGAACACGTTCGTTGCTCACGCGGTGTTCCCACCAGATATGAGCCAAACTGCGAAGCCACCGATGGTTGAACGTAACTAGCCTCTTCATGTCTGCCGACCTTAGGGGTCAGGTTTCGCAACCGTACATCGAATCTAACCTACGCAATAACGGCTATCCAAATAAATTCATCGCCAGGTATAGGAATGAGGTTGCTAAGAAAGAAACACGAATGGATGTCCCAAAGAAAAAGCTCTTCATCACGCTGCCATACAAAGGGGAAGAGAACGACAGAAGATTGTGCTACCGATTACGCCAAGCCATGAAAAGGTGCTATTACAGAGCTGAGCTCGTGTTGTTACATCAAACCAAGAAGCTTTTCCATGAATCCAACTTGGATAGGCCTCACTCTCAGGTTCCCGCCTCATGTGTTTACCAATTCACCTGTACTGGCGGTAGCATGTACGTTGGCCGAACCTAGACAAGGCTATCAACTAGGATCATGGGACATGTTCCACGGAACCTCGCAAGTATTGGACCTAAACTCCCTGCCAGCACCATCGCTCAGCATCTGCTCGATTGTACCTTGTGCGAAAACCCACGTGACGCATTCAAGGGGATCAGCAGACAAAACAACCAAACCTTTGTAAGCAGGTAGACATTATGGCCAGTCTTGTCTTGCCCTGGTAAGACGCAGGCAATGATCTTGATTTTCTCAGTTTCATTGATTTTCCTACTGACGCCCTTTTTCAATTGCATTCCTTTACTCTTTCCACGATTTGTCTGTAAGCAGTTCAATGAGAAGACACGAAATAATCTGAATTCAGGTTATCCGGCATAAATGTTGTTCGTTCTTGCTCTCTTAGAATGATTTTATCACCATTTGTACTTAGTTGGGCTCAGGAGTAGATAATAAAAGGGAAGGGATACTAGGCTACACAGACACAGAGTTGCTTATGGTAGATAATAACATGTTGTGGGTAAGCTAGTTGTAAGCGAATATCTGTTCATATGTTTTTTATACCAACTTCTGTCAATTTTTCTAGAGTTTGCTGTGAGTCAAAGATCTTCATCACTTTTGATGTAGTGAGGAACGTCTGAAGTGAGTTTCGAAATGTGACGTAGCTTGTATTCATGCGTATCTGTAGGAGTAGTTTGTTCCACAGATCAGTATATCTCACTAAGAAGAAATGCGATCGAGTTTTATGACTTGAACGGTTTATGCGTATCAAGTAGCCGCCATTACGTGTGGGGTAGACTGCAGTCTTCCGTAGTTCAAGTGCGGTGCTGTCTGCGTAAATTCGTTGGTTTATAATGTAGAAGAGAGCGAGGTTGTTCTTTAAGCATCTCAGTCAAAGAGAATCCAGTTTGAGTTTTCGACAGCGATCATAACAAGTCAGGTTTGAGCAGCGCCACATAACCAGCTTGGTAAATGACCGTTGAACATTTTCCAGAGCCGTTCTGTCTTTCTTTCTCAATTGGCTGTGAACGATAGTACAGTATTCCAGAGTCGGTTGTACTATTGTCTTGAATGACTCAGTTCGTGCTTCAGATAATGAGAACGTTCTGATGATATATCAACGTAACTGCCTTGCTTTCGCAACCTGATAACGCACATGCTCGAAGAAATCGAAAGACTTGGGCAGACGTGCCAAACGTGGTTATTACACCAAATGAACCACCATGGTGAGTTCGATACGGATATCACTTTCCACCAATTTTCAAAGTGTGACTATTTGGTCATTTGTTTTTGATTAAATCTTCCTCAGGTACATACAGTAATATACATTAGGGTAAGTCTGTTGCAATCGTCAGCATAACAAAGAAACAATTGATTAGAAAATTTAACTTGTGATCATGATGATCACATGATTGAACTCAGGTGGAGTTGCGGAGTGCCATCACTTCCTTCCCGTCTGGTGGTCGGCCACGGAAGTTCTAGTGTTTGTATCACCTTCTTCTGGACACACAACTCCGGGTTTGTCAGGCGTATGCATACTGCCTCAGCGGTGGCAAGTAGGCTTGCTCTTACACGATGGTTATGCCTTGGTGGTTTTCTGTAGAGGATAGCTTTTACCAACAACTACATGAACTTCTACGTTCCTCCAAAAGGACGGATATAGTCATTCTTGCCGGGGACTTTAACGCACGGGTTGGCCGCCTTCTACCAAGCGAGCACCACATTGGGGTCAGTTTTGGTCTCGGTGGCTGTCGATCAGACAATGGAAACAGATTGCTTGCTCTTTGCTCTGATCATCGCTTGTTTCTTTCGAGCACTAGTTTTCGACACTCGAGGAGACACACTGCTACCTGGCGCCCGCCCTCACAAACGCAAGAGTGCTCCCAGCTTGACCACATAGCAATCAGCTACAGATGGCGCGAAAGCGTAACGGACTGCCGATCGTACTGGTCAACTTTTCTAGACTCTGATCACGCATTAGTTCGTGCTAAGATTTGCATGCGTT